GGTGGAGTGGCAGAGTCTGAGCGACTCGTCTCAGCGTCACTTGGAGAAGCTGTACAGCGACGCTACAAACGGCCTCGTGCGGTTCTCGGCCAGGTACAGGATGGGAACGCTCCCGCCCCGTCTGTCCCCACGGGGGCCTGCACCAGGCTCTGGGGAGCGATCTCCCAGCTGCTCCCATCCCGGCCGGGGCAGGAGTGCTGGCTAGGCAGGTTCCCCAGCGTCTCCCAGTCAGAGGCGCTAGGGAAAAGCGGAAGGAGCCGCGTACTGGGAGTGCCTCAGATTTCCCCCCCTGGAGGTGTTTTGGGGAACCCCGGTCCCGACCCCTCCCCGAAAAGGGCCCCCTAGGGCCGACAGGTGACATTATTTTCCCCTCTTAGGAACCAATTGTTTGGGATCCTGGACCTGGACACCATGGAGATGGGCTATTCGGACGTGATTATCGGAGTGAGGCGGCTGGCCAGCACCTCGGACTGGAAGCAGAATCCTCGCTTCCACACCAGGTGGCAGGTGTACTGGAAGCACAGAGACACGTGGCAGCGTTACCAGGAGGTGAAGGGGGGAGGGGGGATCCCAAAGGGGGGCGAGGGGGAGCTCTCCAAAGTAGGGCTGGCGCATCCCGGGGAGATGAGATGGCCGGCCCAGGGTTGGATGAAGCTGGAGACTGGTTTCCCAGGACTGGACAGTTCCTCCAGGGCAGGACTGGGTCCTGTGGCAAGGAGCAATGCGTGTAAGGGTCTTCCTCTTTCAGTCATGCTAAGGGCTCGATTCTCCTTCCGCTCTCTGCTCAGCCTGTCCCCCGCGACCTCCTCGCAGCCTTGGAGAGGGGCTCCCGGGAACCCACCCTTTGGCTCCAAGGCAGGCTCTACACCCTGGATCTGAGACCCCCTCAGTGGAGCACTGAAGGCCAGGGATCTGTCCAACCCATCCAGATCCAGCGCCGACCTGCCTACCGCTCCCTGAGCTGCATGGCACGGTATCTGCGGTAAGTGACTCCCTGGGCAGTTCCATGGCTGGAGGGATCCGAGCTACGTTCTGACTGGCCAGCATCTCCCATCTCCTTATCTCCTTAGGACAGTCCCTAGGGACTCTTGGGGACTCTTCCATCCTTCCACATCCATCATCCCTGGGGAGAGACCCACAGACGGGTACTGTGGCCCATACCCAGCCGCCTGGGTTCCCCAGCCGCCCTGTGGCCAGGCCTTCCTTCATGCAGAGGTGGCCTCGTCGGAAGCGGTGTACCGCAAGATCTGTGAGCTCTTCCACGCGTCTGTCCCAGAGGACATGGTGCTGGTGCTGAAGATTTACAGGATCCGGAACGATGCACTCTGGAAAAAATACAGCAGGTAGGAAGAGGAACGGATTCTGCGAGAGATGGGGCAGGGGTCAGACCAGGCCACTGGCTTTAACCCCACCATTAAGCCATTGACGCCGGTGCTGTGGGCATGACTAGGTGAGTTATCTTCTCTGGGTGGGCCTAAGGGAGGAGTATCTAAGGGTTGGTTCAGGAGACCCATCCCAGGGGTACAATCATCTGGCCTCAGAATTTTCCTCAGCGACTCCAACCCTGTTGTCTTGCGGCTGACCTGGAGCATATCCTTTCCAACCATATCCGGCTCGACAGAAAGACTTCAGAGGGCTTCAGGAAAGAGGCGTGCTGTGAGGAGGGGCATGAAGGCCGAGGGGCTGGGAGCCGGGACAGCACAGCATCATGGGATGCCCAGGGGAGGGAGAGATGCATCAAGGAGGATGAGGAGGGGCCCCTCGCCCGGGCCTGAAGGAGCCACCTGAGAACAGTCTTGGGGGCAGATTGGGGGGACTGAGGGCGGGATGAGAGGAAGAGGCACTGAGGAGTTTGGAGGCGAAGGGAAACGGGCCAGCCGCTGGAGAGCAGGTCGGGGCGAAGGAACGTTCTGTGGTGAATTGGGGAGGGCTGAAGGCCGAGGGAAAGGAGGCAGAGGGTAGAGAGGCTGACGATGATGAGCGAGGGGGTGAGAGAGACAAGTGAGTGATGGGGTTGGAGGTTGAGAGAAGAAGAGACACGTCCCAGCCAGAGCCTGGGGTGGAGGAGAGGAAGCGGGGTGGGAGGGACCCAGGAGAGGAGAGGGAGCTGGGAGAATCCTGAGCAGAGAGAGGAGTGGGGCTGAGGGGAGTCGCCTGAGGCAGGCGGTGCAGGACCTGACCGGGCAGGAGATGCCGAGCTGTTTAGTGAGGAAGATGCAGGACAGCAAGAAGAGAGAACGTACGCGTCGTAGAGGGAATTGGGCTCGTGTCTGGATCCTCCGTTGAGGTGTTCAGTGGCCAGGGGAGCAGATACTGGGGGTGCACCAGCAGTGACTCTAAACCCCCTTGTTTATCCTTTGCACTCACCTCAGCCAGAAGGAGCAAATGTCCCGAGGACTCTTGGCCCAGGAGAAGCGGCTCCTGGAGAGGCACCTCTTCCACGGGACCTCAGCCGACAACGTGGTGCCCATCTGCCAGGCGAACTTTAACCCCCGTCTCTCCGGAAAGCATGGCGCCCAGTACGGCCATGGCAGCTACTTCTCCTGCTACGCCAGCCGTGCCCACATCTTCGCTCTGGCCAACCGCGCCGACCGCCGCCACATGTTCCTGGCCAAGGTCCTGGTGGGCAAGTGGGTGTTAGGGAGACCCGGGTACACCGAGCCGCCGGTGAGGGAACCCTGCAAGTGTCGCTACGACTCCTGCAGCGACAACGCCCACAAGCCCGGCGTCTACGTGATCTTCGACAACTCCCAGTGCTACCCCTACTTTGTGATCTGCTACAAACTGCTCGGCGACCCTGTGACACTGGAGGGTGTCTGAGGAGCCAGTCCGTTGGCGGGGAATTAGGCTCACGCAGCCCAGCTATTCCACACTCTAACCACTCTTTCTGTAGGGTTCGCACAGCACGGTAACGAGGGAATGCGGAGCCCGTCCAGCATCCGTGATAAGAACAAGCAACCCAGTTCGTGGAGGCTTCACCCCGCCCCTCCCCCCCGTCATCCCACTGGAATGTGATCCTTCCCCACCACCCCATTCCCTCCACCCCACTCTTACTGCCTGCCTGCCCCGAGACCATCCACCAAAGACTGCTCATGACTCCAGCACCTGGGCAAACACCATTTGCTTCGCTTCCCTGAAGGAGGCACCACTGAGCTCCAGACAACTGTCCCTCTCCTCCTGGTCTCGCAGAAGTTTCAGAAAGTGGAAACCCCACCTGGAAATCCCCCCACCCCAAGCTCACTAATGCTGGGAATAGGCAGCGCTAGGGGGTGAAATTCATTTTGTTCTCATCCATCCCATCCAAACTTCCCCACGGAATACCCCCGTCTCCTTGCCTAATGGTAGTAGTGGTATTGTCGAGGGATTAAATAGTGGCTGAAAGTTACTTTTCCGTTAACACAAACCCTCTCGTCTGTGACTCTGGGTGCTGCATTTACTTGTGGGAAGTCATGGTTTAAAGGGCTGAGAATGACACCCCGAGCGGCTGGGGGCCGAGGTGTCTTGTTTGAAAAATAAGAGTTTGAAATGATAAAAAAAGGATCCCCCGCTTCGTCGAAAGAGCCTGTGTCCGCGCCAATGAGCAGGGGCGTGTGCGCGACAGAGAGCATGTGAGTGAGCCAGCGTGTGCAGCGGGAGCAGGGCTGCCAGGTTCGGTTTTCCTCCAGGAGGGTGTGAGGTTTGGGCAGGGGGCTGAAGCAGGAAAGCTGCGGGGATTGCAGAGAGACCAGCAGGGCAATAATTGCCCATATTTGAGGGGAAGAGGCTGCACTGGGGGCCCCAGTTCATTTTTCATGGGGGGAGGGAGTTTTATGCATTCCCATGTGTGACAATCTCCCCTCACCCCTAGCAGCAGTGTAGGGGCTCAGACATGGATTGCTCCTACGTAAGGGGACCAGAACACAAGTGTGAAAAATGGGGACAATTTTTCGTGGGGCGGGGGAGGGCATGGTTGCCTATATAAGACAAAGCCCCTGATACCGGATGTGACGGGTTTGGGCCCTTTGGGATGTCACCTGATGTGCTGGGGTGCCCCTGAGTCAGCCTATTCTGACAGCCTGGGTCCCCTTTACCTGGCCTTGGTGGGTTAGGCTCACCAGCCTCTTCCAGCTACGCCCAGCGGCACAGAGAGAGACAGAATCCGCTCGGGAAAGATTCACCTTCGGGACTTGCCCCTACACTGTCCACTCCCTTTAAGGGGGACAAACCCAAAGCTTTTATGAAATTCGCCCCCTCCCTCAATGTGGAGGGAGATATGCACAACTTCTTGCCCCCCCCCAGTTAGAAATTACATAAACTGGGTGATATGATAAAGAAGAAATAAGTTTAACTGCAAAAGGTGAATTTGAAGTGAATATAAGAGAGAACAGGCAGAACAAAGCAGATTACTGACCAAATAAAGCAAAATACCCAAACTAAGCTTGATATACTTAAGAAACAGGTTACAAAATAGAAATTCTCACCTTAGATGTTATTTTAGGCAGGTTGCAAAGTTTCTGTGGTTCAGAGTTCCAGTTATATTCCTTTTCAGACCCCTGTCTCAGTCTGGACTCCCCCCTTGCCTTCCTTTCAGGTGGCTTTTGCAGTCCTTGGGCAGTCAGGCCATGGAGAGGGGGAGTCCCGTTTGCCTTCCTCCCCACGCTTAAATAGGATTGACACAAGGCGGGAATCCTTTGTTTCCCAAACTTGACCCCTCCCCCCCCTTCCAGTGGAAAGTTACAAGAAGTGCCAGGTAATGTTTAGTATCAGGTGACAAGACCAACTGACTGTAGGATCACAGCGTCCATGAGTCAGTGGCAGTAGGGAGCGTCCTCAGGAAGGTCAAGTCTTTTCCCAGTCCATTGTCCTCGCTGATGGGCCATCAGCCCTGCCTGGCTTTTCCATTGTTGTACCTGAAGTGTGAGCAGTGGGCGTCACCCCAAAGTAGCATAGTTGAAATACAGATCAATATTCCTAACTTCAGCTACAGAAATGATACAGGCATACACATTGGATAATCGCATTCAGTAAATCAGAACCTTTCCAATGATCTCTCACATGAGCCATCTGGCATAAAGTATATCTCAGTTCTGTCATATTCATACTGTAAGCATATTTTCATAAAGAATATGGAGTGAAACATCCGGTCACCCTAATCCTGGGTTGCCTGGCAGATAGCTGTAACCACAGAGCCTGAGGTCCCAAGGAGGCAGGGCCTGTCAGAGATGGGAGTGGGTAAAGGGGGGGTGCAGCCAGGGGTTGGGGGGACGGGCTCGGTGGTTACAGCTGAGGTCCCAAAGAGGGAGTGCCTGTCGGAGATGGGGGCGGGTAGTGGGGGTGTAGCCAGGCACTGGGGGGACGGGCTCGGTGGTTACAGCTGAGGTCCCAAAGAGGCAGTGCCTCTCTTGGACTATAGGAAATCTCACTGTGGAAAACAGGGTGGAACGGTAAGATAAAAGGGACTAGGTGACAGGGGACCCGCCATAACCACCCGGCTTGCAGAGGGGAGGGTGATGTGTGCCCTGGAAATACCACAAATCATTCAGATTCCTGTTTGCAATGAGGCCTTTGGGGCAAGTTTCCCCATCTCTCCGTGCCTCGGTTTCCCCATCCGTAACACGGGGCTACGCCTGTGACTCCATCTTTGTCAAGTGCTTTGAGATCCATCGATGAAACACTGCAACACATTGTTATTAGTCCCGTGGGACAGATAGAAAATCAAAGACAGAGAGGTTTGTCTGGGAGACTCTGGGGGGTTTTGGATTGACTCTCCTTAGGAGACCCCACAACCCCTCTCATCGACAGGGCGGGACTCATCTCCAGCTGTGAGTCGTGGCCTGCCCAGGCAATTGTGCCCTCCGGGACAGTGCAGCCCACAGAGTGCAGGAGTGAGAGGTACAGGGCCAGAGTCTGACATGGTGTAAACCATTGTGACAGCAGTGGAACTGCACTGAGACACCAGCTGAGGGTCGGGCCCAAGCCGTTTGCCGGGGGAGGGATTTGGCTACGGAATAAGTTTGCCAAGGAAATGAGATGAATCCAGCATCTGGCTACTGCTGGGCATGAAGAGCCTCCTCCTCACTATGGATTTCCTGCCGTGCCCAGGAAGAGAAAGGAGCAGAAGCCTCCAGGAGATCTACTGGGAACCTTGCCCAGCAGATGTAATTTCCCTGGGAAGCACTTAGATATGATGGCAAAGTTTGCCGTAGAAAACCTAAAGATAGATATATAGGACACTGGCTTCATGACCTTGGGCAAATCCGCTAACCTCCTTAATATATATGGAGATATACCTACCTCATAAAGCTGGAAGGGACCTTGGAAAGTCATCAAGTCCAGTCCCCTGCCTTCACTAGCAGGACCAAGTACTGATTTGGCCCCAGATCCCTAAGTGGCCCCCTCAAGGATTGAACTCACAACCCTGGGTTTAGCAGGCCAATGCTCAAACCACCAAGCTATCCCTCCTTGCTCCTAGCTTTACCCTAGGGTGTTAATTATGATACCCAACCTCCTGAGGGGCTGGCCAGCAATTAGCCCAGTTCTTTGAAATGCTAAAGCACCGTGAGTAAGATCTGCCCCCGCAGCGTGGAAAGTGGCTGGTGCAAACCGGACGGACCATCGACATTCAGCAACATCTGCTGACTGCACTTTGCCTGCAGCTCTTTGCCCCCCCCCCAGGCAGTGGTGCACCATATGCCCAGTGCCCTTTCCCTGGAAATGGCCGAGGTGCCCCTAGAGAAGAGGAACCTTTCCAGGGTGTCCGCAGCAGAGTGCCAGGGGGCTCAGCCCAGTGGCGCTGCCCGGCAAAGGGGCAGCGCCGCAGCCTGCACAGACGGGGCCAGTAACCCGAGCTGGGCTCCTGCAGTGTATTGGGTTACACGATCAATAATTGAGTGGGTAGCGAGGCTGAGGGAGGGCAGCTGGTCTCTCACTGCCAGCGGTGCCCGGGCGAGCGCCGAAAGGCTCCGCAGACCATCCCTTGGCTGCAGGCTGGCAAGGAACAGACAGGTAGGCGCTCGTCTCATCTCATGCTAGCTACAGGCAACGTGGGAGACAGGGGCAGCCCTAGCAGGAAGATACAGCGGCAGCAGATACTGGGGCAAGGCCCTCAGAACAGCTCTGGGGCGGGGAGCCCGAGGCTGGCTGAGGGGAATCCAAGAGGCAGCATTTTCCTCTGGCTACACTTCATGCCCTGGTGGAAGTGGGGCAGGAGAGGGGTGTGAGACAGGGGTGTTGGGGGAAGGGATGCGGCTTTTAGCTCATGCAGCAGTAGAGGCTCATGCACAAAGCTCAGAGGTCCCAGGTTTGATCCCGCCCGCCAACGACTGGGGTCTGTCGGTGTTACACCTGCACCATAGGCTGCAGTGGGGCTTGGCACAGGGACAGCTGGGGCAGCTCAGCACCACCTTGGGGGGCCTCCGACGCTGGAGGAACTTCTGAGGAGCCTGGTAATTGGATTTCCTGATGGAAAGCCAGACTCGGGGCCGGGGGGGGGGGGGGGGCTGGGGGGAGGGGCCCTGAGTCTTATCCGTGTGAAGGAGAATCTCAGGGTTGATTTAAACAGCTACCGGCGAGCTCCTGCTCTCAGTGACACGCACAAACGCGCCGGGGGGGGCCACTTGGGCCACTCGCTACTGTAGCAGAGAGCGGACCCCAGGCTGAGCCGTCACCTCGCCCTTTCCTGCAGAGAGCCAGGCAACCTCTGCAGACGGGTCACACGGGCTGAAATCTGCTCCCTGTCCCCTCACGCCTGGGAAATCCAGGCCCCGAGTTTTGGGGAAGCTCCCATAGCAAGGGACAGCCGTAGGGCCGGTGTGACCTGGGTGTAGGGCTGCAGGGAGCTT